TATTTATATTTCTTTCAGTTGATAGTTGTGACATGAGTGGAGTGATGGTTCTCATCAAGTCATTTGTTCCGACTGCTCAGTTACAAGAAGATCATGGCAGTGAAATGATCATAAGCCTTCCACAACGTTCATCAGATGGCACACCATACAACCTGTCTGGGCTGTTTACTCACCTTGAAGAAAATCTACACAAGCTTGGGTTTGGAAGTTATGGCTTGTCAAGCACAACTTTGGAAGAAGTGAGCACTAGATATCTTTGAAAGAATTCAAGTTTTTCATTTTTAGCATTTTTTCAGATGAATACTAATAGTCTCAGTTTCACTGCTTAAATTTATTTATCATTATTTTTGTACTAATGTCATAAATAGAAACCTATTTTATATGTTTAATGTTTTAAATCATTACATTTTGTTGCCATACTCATTATATTTTATTTAAAGCATGTAAAACTGAAACCAAAAGTAGATAACTACCATTTAAAGAGAAGTTAAAAATTATTGTAAAAACACTGGGTTAACATTTATTATACTAATCTCCTATCAGTGTTTAAAATATAAAAAATTATATATTTTTTTAATTTTGAATAAGAATAGTCAACCACTTGAAATTGATTGAGTTTCTGGGTCTTTTGAAGTCTACTATATTTATGGTGAAAATTTGTAAAGTCTGATATTATTTTGTCACTAAAATATAGAAAGACATTTTTGACATTTTTTAAAAGGTATTTCTAACACTCTGCACCTTGGAAGACTCAGATGTTCCATTCATGAAAGCACAGGAACAACTGTCAATAAAAAGTGGCTTACTAGTTCGTACATCGAGTAACACTGAAAGTTTGTCTACTTGTTCTGAAGAAGATGGTAAGTAAAGTGTGATATGTTTGATATATTTATAAGTTTTTTTTTTTCAATGAAATTATGTAATAAGTGCTACTTGCTTAATTAATTATGCATAAAAGTAACAGCTTGAGATAAGTGAAATATAGCTTAAAATGTAATAGCTCTGCTTTTAGTTGTTCTTGAAATTAATAACTGCTGATAATTATGTTTTGGTTTGGACCTGTTCACTATTAATGTACAAATATGATGACTTATCAGAATAAGCTTATTTAGAAAGGGAAATCATCTTAGTAGGTTATTTGATTTGTCATGTAGTTCGTTCTTTTGATATCAATGTTGTGTTAAAAATGTTTATTCCAAGGATTTTATACAAACACATACTTTTATTACTTATGTTGATTCAAACTAATAATTTACTCTGTGTTTCAGTTTTTTGTTTATTGTTTTTTGTTGCTGTTGGGTAAATGTAAATTTTCTGCAAAGGAATATAGCACTGCTGTTATTACAACATATGATGAAGTATAGATAAATTTATCATTATATTAACCTGTTTTAGCACCTTTAGTGGAACTTAATGTCAACTCTGATCCGTGGGCTACCAAATCCCTGAATCTGGGCAGCAAATGTCTACTAACAGGGCCCCATCTAAAGCTTCAGCAGTTCATTGCACTCTTGATAAAACGTTGTTATCACACCTACCGAGATTGGAAGACTCTTATGTGTGCTATTGTTCTGCCTTGCTTATTCATTGCCATTGCCATGGGATTTGCCACAATCAAGCCAATCAGAACTGCTGAACCAGCACTTCTACTGACACCTTCCATGTATGGACCCAATGCAGCATCTTTCATTAGGTAAACTCTTGTGAATTATTAATTTATTTATAAGCATTTCGAGTTGAAATATAACATATAACCACATTAAAACTAATGGCTTAAATGTGTGTGTGTGTGTGTGTGTGTGTGTATATTGTAAAATATTCTCTTGTGGGTATTGTGCTATCTTTTTTCCAGGCTTATGCAATCTTCTAATTTTCTTGTCATTCAGTTTAATTTTTTAAAACATGTTTTACGCCTTTAAAAAGGGATATCTAATGATTTTTTGTAAATTTTCAGTCTGAAGAAAGGCGAACAAAACATTGCCAATGATGTTATCTCACAACTTCTGTCCCCACCAGGTATAGGAACAATGTGCATGAGGCCTCCACCCAAAGGGTATGTTGATATGTTTTAAGTGTTTTTCTTTATGATATTCACTAATATTTGGATATATATTTGTCATATTATGACTGTATATACTGTTTGATATTTAAAATACCATTATTAACTGTACTGATCATCTCAATAAAAGAAAATTCTAAGGCTGTATGTAAGCTGCTGGTTATTTTAAATAATTATCAGTGGTGTATATTGTTTAGAAAAACTACTATAATTTTTCCATACAAAAATAGTAATATCAATTTATTTATCTTTTTTGTAGAATGTCTTTACAGTGCAAGACCACAAATTCTACAGTATTTAAGATGTCAAAAGAAAATTCTAACAAGAAAAGATATATTGGAAGTAAAAATCAATGTTCATGCAGTAAAGAGAAATACTGTGGAGTCCAAGATTCTCTTATTGACAAGACTCAGCCACTGTATGATACCAGAACAGAAGATATAATTTACAACCTTACTGATGTGGTCATCAATGATTACCTTCTTAACACATATCCAGCATTTATTGAACAGCGGTAACTATTAAGATTATTAAATAAGTTGCCACTAGTAAAGTTTGAAGTTTTGTTGTGAAGTTACTTGTCAAACAGACAATAAGTTTGAGTTAAATTCTACAAGTTTATCTTAAATGTATGGAAAATACAAACCACTGATTAAAATGCCTGTAAACAAGGCACTACATATTGTACCAAAAATTGAAAAGGTTCCAAAATAACCTAAAAAAAGTGGTATTTCTTTTGTTTTTATCATGTTTATGACCATCTGTTGAGAAATAAACATATTAGTAATGTATATTTATATTGATTAGTTATGGAAAATCTACAAATTGCATTAACCTTTTCATTATTATAATGACAAGCAGTTGATTTGATTCACAATAAGTAATAATATTTGATAATAAGCCCACTGAGAAAACTTTATAACAGCAGCATGCTAAATATAATAATTTGATTGTCACCTTTTGAGAATAATAATTTGGTTATAGACTACTATATAAAATTTGATTGTAGTCTACTGGGTAAAACTATTTAAATATAGCCTGCTGAATAAAACTTATTTAGTATGCTAAATAAAAACTATTTACATATAGGCTGCTAATTAAAACTATTTGCTTTTAGCTTTTAATTATAAGTATTTGTTTAAAATGTGTTGAATAAATCTAATTTTATTATTGTTTACTGAGTAAAATTAATTACAAGAGAAGACTACATTGATTTTTTTTCATTTATGCTATGTAAGAAAAAATTTTTTTTAAGTAAGAACTATGTTGTTTCTAGCAATAACCAGTTAAATTGTACAAAAATGTTAAGTCATTGACATCTATCATGCAATGTGAAATACATGATAGAAAAAAAATCTACTTGATATTACAAGTATAATATTGTTGATTTAAACAGTAATGAAATTTTCATATTTAAAAATGTTTTTAGGTATGGTGGTTGGAGTGCAGAGAGATCAGGAGAGAATGCAGCAATGAAGGTATGGTTTGAAAATTCTGGATATCATGCTGTACCAGCATACATGAATGCTCTCAGCAATGCCATCTTGAGGTATAACATGAAAGTTCAGGGTCAAGACCCAAGAGAGTTTGGTAAGTTTATTTTCATCATAAGGCAATACACAATAATTGCCTTGTTGTCAAAATTTATTTATTATATTTACTAAATTAGTATTCTAAATCTTATAGTGTATGATCTGTGAAGAATATTTAAATTTTTAGATTCACACTCGATTCATTTGAGACTGATGTCATATATAAATGCTTAAAACCGTATTTTACTTTTCAATATGTTATGTGTAAATCATCTAAGTTAGGCACATGTAGCCTATTTTAAAGGACTTGACACTAAGCTTCAAATTATTATGATTATAATGTCAATTTTGAAGTAAGATATACTTAATAGACTTGTCTACCATAAAAACCTGAAAGTGAGTTGTTATATGTATATTATGTCTTTATTATGAATAATAAGATCAATACTTTATTATATGATGAACCTTTGTATAATGGACAGCAACTGCTTGTTGTAGAGACACAAGTGTAGAGGATAACGTTTCGAAAGTCTTTTGCCTTTCGTATTCAGGCAGAAGACTTTTGAAACGTCGTCCTCTACATTTGTGTCTCCACAACAGGCAATTGCTGTCCATTATACAAAGTTTCATCATCAATACTCTGGCTAAACAATCTATCAAAGAATACTTTATTATATATTCTTCCTAAATACCAGGAACAGTGTTTGATCGGTGAGTAATGCAATTCTTGAGGTTTTTCTATTTTTTATTATATTATTTTTTAGTTTTAGAAATGAGTGGAGTGGCACTTTTTAGCTTTAGGGTTTTAAATTTTATAAAGCAGCATTGTAATAGCATTTGAGAATCTGTAATTGTGAAGAAAGTCAGATAGTTGTGATAAACTTATAGGTATTAACAAAACAAAAAATATTTATATATTTCCGTTAATTTATTTTTCTCAATAAAAAGACCAAATAATTGTTTGTAATACAACTGTAGCATGTATGGGTAGGTGCTATATTGATGCTATATACTACAGTGTGTGTTCTTATGTAGGTATAACAGTCTACAACCATCCTTTGCACTTGACGTCTGCACAGCTTAGTCGGGAATCACTGTAAGCATAATTCTTAAATACCTATGACATATGTTTCAATATTTATTTCTTAGATTTGTTTGAAGGTTATTATTGCAAAGCAAGAAAAAAGTATATCATATACTTTTTTATTTATTTTTTGATCTTGTGCATGTGTTTGAAAAGCAAACTGTTCTTTTAAAGATTCTATACAAGATATGTTATCCAAGTCACTGAAAATAATGTCTTGTTAGACAAACAATATGAGCAATGGTCCTCCCATTACTAGATTTGTTGATTCAGAAGTAAAGGATCAATCTTGCACCAAATACTAACAAACTCACAGGTTCTGATGTTGCTTATTTGATATCCCACATTAAGTGATAACAATTAACAGTTCAAACATAATGTGTATTGTAACATTACTGAAAATATTCAGTTAGCAAGACTTTTAATTATTACTAAGATAACTTTATTATTAATTATTTAAAAGTCAGTATTAGTTCATAATGAAAACAAAATCCTGTTTTTTCTTCTCATTGTTAAAGCCATTAAAGAGTTTATTAAGTGTTTCTTGTACTGTTGAAGTTGTGTGTTTGTTTCATTTAAACATGAGTTTGTGATGAATATTACAAATGTTATGTTATAGGCTTCATCGTGTAGCAGAGGTTGGGATTGCCCTGGTTTTTCTACTTGGCTTTGCCTTTATTCCTTCAAGTTTTGTGGTTTATTTGGTGCGAGAAAGAACCCAGGAAGAGAAGAGATTACAGTTTGTTGGTGGTGTTGGACCAGCCCTCTACTGGTTCTCCTCCCTAATTTGGGATATGTTTTTAGTTGTTATAGCTGTTTGTTTGGCTGCAGTTATCATAGCTGGATTTTCCTTGCCTGTTTATGTCACAAAGCTCAACATGCCAGCTGTTTTACTTCTGCTGTTGTTGTTTGGGTAAGTATAAATATATAATAGATTTTAATCAATCTCAAAAACATAGAAGTCTTTATTCTAGAGAAGCTATAAGCATGTTGAGAACTAGGTACAACAAACATAGCATTTTTATTAATCATATAGTGTTAAAAATTTTGAAGGTACAGCATCAGTTGAAAATTATTTAACATACCTAAATAAAGTGTGTGTGTGAATGAAAATGGTTTTCTATAAGACAGAGAGGATAATAATGAAAATAATTTAAACATTCAACCTGAACTTTTGTGCATTTTATGTTATTATTTAATATAACATATATTTAATATACAAATTAATAAATATCAAGGTTTAAAATATATTAATCTTCTCTTATTTTCTTCATTGTTTGTTTTCTCAAATGATTGATGACATATTTTTATGCTAGTTACTCTGTATTTTATGTTTTATCTCTCATAATGTAAATAAGCCACTAAAAGCAAATGGGCCAAGTATGTTTCTTCCATCTACAATATTTACAGCTGCAACATAAAACAGTATTCCAAACTTAAATTTGTTGGTTAGGTCTTCAAGTATAAACTTTGTGAAGGATATCCCATAGATAACTTAGGTGTAGATATTTTCAGGCTGATCAATTTTCTGCCAAAAATAAAAGGATTAATGTTCAAAAGTACATGCATAATATCAGTGAACTTACTTATTTGTACAAGCTGTTAAAGGAACACTACGTTATGTTTTCTTAGTAACTAAAGGTTGTAACATACTGAAATTGTTTTGATCACATGCTTTAACCAGTATCAAGGCTTTTAATGTTAAGAATAATATTATTTGTCGTAATTAAGTATTTAATAGTCAGAATGTATCAAACTTTTATGGTTATCAATTTTTTATTTGTTGTACTGGTTTGTTTGGAACCTGAATTTGCAGGTGGGCGATGACTCCATTAATGTACCTTTTGGAGAAACTATTCAAAGAAGCTAGCATTGCCTTCATGGTCCTTTACTGTATCAACATTTTCATAGGCATCAACATCATGGTTGCCAACTTGCTACTCACCATCTTTGAAGTGGATAATGTGAGTAACAAAAGACTTGTGAATTTTTTACTCTGTTTATTCAAGATTCTTATATTCATGTAACTTAACTCGGTACACCAGTAAAACTGGTAATTCCTCATAAATTGCAAAAAACAGTAAATCATTCCCAAATAGATTTGACTGATATGGTGGTTTGGTATCTGTTAGACGAGCCTTTAGGCTCAAGTTTCAGTGTTGTAGTCATCCCTCAAATCAATTAATTTTATGAACTTTAATTTTCACTATTAGATACAATTCTCTTTAACTTGTGACCAATACAGTTCAATGATATTGATTTAATTAAACCCCCTGTAAGTACCACAGTTAAGAATTGTGATCTAGTCTAATGTTTTGGAGCATTCATTGCTTAATGGAAAGAAGGTATTCTTTGATAGGTTTTTTAAGCAAAATATTCATGATCAAACTTGGTTGATTAGACGATGACAACCTGTTGTAGAAACACAAGTATAGAGGATGATGTTTCAAAAGTCTTCCTCCTGAGAATGGAAGACTTTTGAAACTTCGTCCTCTATACTTGTGTTTTACAACAGGCAGTTACCATCCATTCAACTAAATTTCATCAGAAAAGAAGGTGATTTCAAGTCATTTCAGACAAATTGTAAGTAGCAGTCTATACATGAAGTTACTAAACATCTGAAGTTGTTAACAAATAAATATTATAAAAAAGATTTTTAATCAGTTATAAATATTTTGTTTATTTGAAAATATTTAATGAAATCCTTTATCACTAATTATTTCATAACTTAAACTGATTTTGCTTGTCTCTCATTTCTTTTGTTGATCGCGTATCTTTAATTTGATTATTTTTATTCTGTAATCATTTAACTTTTCTCTTTGTTGGGAGAAGTATGTGATGAAAATGAACTGATAGAAATCAATATTTAATATGTTTGTGTTTGGAGAAATAAACTAATAATTTAAACTAGGAGTGGTCCTTTTTCATTTGAAGATTATAAAATCCTGACCAGATTTATTCTCTTTTAGTTTTAAATGTCATATTGCATATTTCAACAAGGATTACATTTTTTAAACTTTTCATACCATCTACTCTAAGATTCTGATGAAAACAATCCCACCTTGATGTTTCTCATGACAAGTTTTTTAAATGTGCTTACCAAACAAAGTATGTTATATGTGATTATAAATATGATATTATAGCTATAAAACACAGTTATGGTGAATACACCATTTAACATTCCTGTATACCCTGATCACGTTTGAAAAGTGAATCTTTCTTCATCAGGGGCAAACTGGGACATTCCTACATTTTGAAAACTCTGGTTATAGTGTTTTGTTTTTTTGTTAAATTGATTTTATGAACCTACACTGAGTGGTCACAAGTAAATATACACCTAATTTTCGTCATTTAACTGATTTATGCTAACTAATTTGTGTTCACAGAGACACTATACAAAATGAAAATGGTCTGCACACTAATTATCTTATGCTAC